TTTTATCTCCTTGCTGTAGGTAGGAGGGTATAGATGAGTATCTTGCTATTGTTTTAGGGGGTGTCTATATGTACACCCCCTTGTGTGTAAAAAAAGGGTGTACATATAGCACTTTTCTTTGTGTAATTTATTAAAAGGGGGTGTACATATAGCATTGCCCTTGTTTTATAGTGGTTTAGTGCTTTTAGGCTTTAAAATATTCTCTTCTTGTTATTTTTTGAGGAGTTGGAGACCCTCTTATATATAGACCTTAAAAAATGTTAACCTCACTAAAAGGATCTTTTGCAACTCTATTGGTAAAATATTTATCTGGTTTTCCATTTTTTCTTTGAAGCAAAATAAAGGAAATATACTTTTGTTCAGAACTTTCTTGATGAAATCAGTGGTGCAAAATTATGGGGAATTATGGAATATCCTATAACTTGGGATGGAAATCAAAAGCATAATTAAGCATATATATAAAGTTTGTACTTACTTAAAATAGTATGAGTTTCTCAAAAAAAAAAAAAAAATGCTTGGTTATTTAGTATAGAAACTTTAAAATTAATATTCAATCTAAAATAAAATATTTGGCGATAATTCGAGCTAGAATTATACATGAACTACCTAAATAATGTTGTTGTTTATATGGTAAATAAGATAAATTGTTTACTTACTAGAAATTATTTTTGTTTCTCTAATTACCAATTATAGTTGAACTTTCAAAATAAATAAAATAAATGGCTTACTTACTAGAAATTATTTTTGTTTCTCTAATTACAAATTATAGTTGAACTTTCAAAATAATATTGTTGTTATATGGTCAATAAATAAATGGCTTACTTACTAGAAATTATTTTTGTTTCTCTATTTATCAATTATAGTTGGACTTCAAAAAAAAATATTGATGTTTCCATGGTAAATAAAATAAAGGGCTTACTTACTAAAAATTATTTTTATTTTATAATTATTAATAGAAAACGATAAAATTCTGAAAATTGAATAGAACGTGTACAACCGTGGTAAAACATTTTACTCAAAGGATTTGTTATAAACTGGGATATGAAGGCAGGAATTTTATTGTTCCACCTGTGGGAACCAGAGGAGGCATGCTCCTGCTTTGGGATTCTAATACTGATATTCTCCAAATTCAAAGTCAGCCCTTCTTTATTGCAGTTCAATATATGGATAAACAAATAAATCACCCATGTTGGGCCATTTTTGTCTATCTTAGTCCCCACAGAATTGATAGAGAAGCTCAATGGGATTTGCTGCAATATGAGAAATCAAAATGGGGATCTTTATGGTACATGGCCGGAGATTGGAATGACTTATGTAAACCGGAAGATAAAAAAAGGAGGAAAAACTAGATCACAGGCCAGTTGCTGGGGATTTAACAATTTTCTTGCACAGATGGGAGCTTATGAGATTGCTCATAAAGGCCTTCAGTTTACTTGGGCAAACAACAGAATGGGAGAGGGCTTTGTTGAAGAAATCTTGGACAGAATGTTTGTCTCATTAGACTGGCTTCATTATTTTCCCTCAACTCAAGTCACTAACTGGTTCAGAAGCGCATCAGATCATGGCATGTTAATCATTCAAACTCAAGAGCAGTAGCTAGACCTAAAAAGCGATTTCAGTTTGACAAACGATGGCTACACAAAGAAGGAGTCAGTGAAGCAGTCTCAACAGCATGGGAAGAAGAGCAAACAGGAACTCCTATGTTCATTATTAAAGAGAAAATCAAGAGAACCAGACAAGCACTTTTCAAATGGAGCAAATACTTCCATTCTGATCAATCTTCTAAAGTCAGACAGTTAACTCTGCAGCTAGAAGATCTAAGGAAAGCTGGAGGAGAGAGAGATTGGGATACATGGGATAGAATCCAGAAAGAATTAGATGAAGCTAACCTGTCAGAGGAGATCTACTGGCAACAAAAAGCAAGAACTCTGTGGTTCAAAGAAGGAGACAGAAATTCCAAGTTTTTCCATGCATATGTTGCCCAAAGAAGAAAAATGAACTCCATTGTGAAGCTGATAGATGAAGAAAATAGACTAACTGAAGACCCTGTGGAGATAGAGCAAATGGTGACATCTTATTACCAGAAGCTGTTTACATCAACTGGTTCTGAACAAGGACACCAAATGTTGCCATTCATAAAGAAAACAATTTCTGATGATATGAATTCTGCACTTACAGCACCAGTTGAGGATGAAGATATCAAGAAAGTTGCATTCTCTATTCACCCTGATAAAGCACCCGGAGAGGATGGCATGACGGGGCTCTTCTTTCAGCATTTTTGGCCCATTGTGGGGGAGGACATATGTTATGCAGTCAAGTCTTTTTTTACTTCTGGGCAGCTCTTAAGGTATTGGAAGCATATACTCATAACTTTAATTCCAAAATGCAATAATCCTACTTCAATTAACCACTTCAGGCCTATTAGCCTATGTGCAGTATTTTACAAGATAATATCAAAAATTTTGGCACTAAGGCTTAGGCAATGTTTGAATGACTGCATTTCAGAAAATCAAACAGCTTTTTTACCTGGCAGACAAATATTAGATAATGTGGTCTTGGGGCATGAAATTTTTCATTTTTTAAATAGACACAGGTCCGGCAAAAATTATTTCATGGCATTGAAGCTGGACATGTATAAAGCTTTTGATAGTTTGGAATGGAAGGCTGTTCAATTAACCATGATCAGAATGGGGTTTGCTCCTTTATTTGTTAAATGGGTTATGGCATGTATTCAATCCCCCACTTTCTCATTTAATTTGAATGGCAAAGTATGTGGCTTTATTACAGCTTCCAGAGGAATTAGACAAGGGGACCCCTTGTCCCCTTACTTATTTATTATCATCTCAGAATTGTTATCTGCAAAAATTGCTGATGAGGCAGAAAAAGGAAGGTACAAGGGCATCAGAATTTCAAAAGGAGGACCAATGCTCACCCATTTACTTTTTGCGGATGATACACTTCTTTTTTGTAATGCTAATGAGTCCCAGGCTTTGAAAATCCAATCTCTCTTGCATGCTTATAATAAATTCACAGGGCAAAAAGTTAACTGGGCCAAACCACGGACAGCTCCAGTTAGGTGGTCCCACTGACATTTGACATGTCAGTCACATCGCTTACATGGAATGCCCGTGGTCTGGCTCGACCCCTCCTGG